GTACTCTGTTTACTTGATAGGTTCCCTAAAAGATGTTTTCCAAGATTGTCCTAGATATTGTTTTTACACCTCAGGTCCCAGTTAATGTGTCCTTGTGAGTCCAGCTCTAGCAGGGTCACATTCTTTATGCTCAAGGACAGGGAATAATGGCTCTAATTTTAATCCCCTAAATCAGTGCCAAATAACTAACATAAACAATAAGTACTGTGGAGTGACTGAGAAGGTCACTGTGGGTAAGAGTCAGCAGAGAAGGCCTCAAATAGGAAGTGGGACATAAGCCTGGCCTTGGAAACTTAGGTAGGAACAGGATAGTCGGAGAAGAAATGGAGGGCATTCTAGTGTGGGGGACAGGAAAAATCAAGGTGCAGGGGTGAGAAAGTGCAAAGTTTGCTTGGAGAGAGGATGAGGAGAGAAATTTAGCTGGAAAAAAGAGATTTATGTGGGGGAGAATAGGAAATAAGACTGAAAAGGGCATCTTTTAAATTTCTGAGTACAGGATTTGGACTTGTCTTATAGACAATGGGGAACCATAAAAGGGTTTTGAGTGAAAGTGAAACTGTGAAGCCATGTTTAGGAGGATTAATCTAGCAATATGCATTGTATAGTACACATTCATGTGGGGAGAGACTGGAGGTAAGGAAGACCAGTTAGGTGGCTGTGACATCAGTCAAGGATAAGGTGACAAGAGCTTTGGTAGACTGGGATCATAAAGAAAGGCCAATTGTGATTGACATGATGAAGGAAGAAATGTCAGAACTTGATGAAACAGGGAAAGAGAAGGGTCAAAGTTGACTGAGAGTTTTCAAACCTAGGTGCCTTGAGGAAAGAAGATGCCATGAACAGAAATGAGCAAGGCAAGTAGGGGAACTAGTTCAGGGAGTTTAGTTTTTGACATCTTGTGTTGGAAATAACAATGGAACATCCAGTTGAAACTGTCCAGTAGGCAACTGAAGATGTAGAAGTTGAGCTTGGGAGAAAAATCAGGCCTAGAATTGTGTTAGCATGGTGTAATGGAGGGAGCACTGGGAGTTAGGAGACCTGGGCCCAAGTCCCTGCTCTGCCACTAAGTCTTGAGCAAGGCATCTCTCTGGGCCTGTTTTCTCCTCTATAACGTGAGGAGTGCCTGTGCCCTGGATGATCTCTGAGGTACTCTCCGGGATTATGAATCAACTGAATTGTATTCACCTGCACAAATATTCACTCCAAGAGAAAAACAAGAGTCTGGTGGTGGGAGGGGATTAAATAACCCCAACATGCTGACTCTGTGATTCTATTTATTCTATTCACTTAGGGAGTAAAAGAGAAAGAGAAGCTAGCAAAGGAGATAGAAAGGAAGCAATCAGAGTGATAAAAGTAGGAAGAGAGAAATTCTAAAGTGAGGGGATAAAATAAGGAACCAAAATTAAAAGTGTAACAATAAATGGGAGAAATAGTTATATCAAATATAACAAAGGGTTAACATATATATATATATATATAATGTAAAGAATAGATTTAGATATATAAGAATACCACTAAGATTCCAATTGGAGAAGGATATGAACAGCCAGTTCACACAAGAAGAAATAAAAATAGTAAACATATGGGAAAGTTCAATCCCATGAGTAATCAAAGAAATGAAATTAACAAAATAATTTTTAAACCATGCTAAAATACTTATTATATAATTCAATACTAGAGCTGCAAGGGAACTGAAACACTTATGTGTCATGTGGCATTGGAAATTTGTACAGTCCTTTTGATAATCAAGATTGATAAAAGTGTTTATGCTCTTTGATCTGGTAATCCCACTCCTGGGAACTTGTCCTAAGGACAGAATTACAAAGAAGGAAAAGCTATACGCATTAAGATGTTCAAAGAACAGAAAAAGTAGGATTCACCTAAGTGTCCAATAATAGCAGAATAGTCAAATAAATTATAATCTATTGATTGATGTAATTTTATATGCCCATTGAAATGATAAATATGAAAGACTATAGCAATGGGGAATATTTACAATAAAAAGTTTTCAAAAAGCAGAATTAAAAAAAGATATGTACACCCTGGTTACACTTAGGTAAGATATGTATATGTATGCAAACTGACAAAGCATGGAACATGGAAATATGAAAACAATTTTCTAGAGTTTGGAAGTATAGAATACTTTCTTTCAAAATTTCCTTTTATGTTGTCACAGTGGGGCATTTAATAAAATATTATTAAAATTTTTAAAAAGGATATGCAACAGTGTCAAATGAAGTAGAGAGGTCAAGGAAGATGAAAGTAGAGAAAGATCATTTAAGGTCTTGCTTATGAGGTAATGTGTGTTCTTCTAGAAACAGGAAACTGTACGAAAGTAGAAGCCAGATTCAGGGAGTTAAGGGGTGATTTTTAGGTGAGGAAATGGGGTTTATAGTACTCTTTCTAGAAATTTGGCAGTGAAATGAATAAGATAAATAGAATGGTAGTGAGAAGAGACAGCAGGGTCAAGGTATCAGTGGTAATGCTTCATTTTTTGTTATGTGTGTGTGTTTTAAGATGGGGTGAAATCAGTGATGGGAGAGACTGAAAATGATGAAGGAGGATAAATGAAGGAACAAGAAAGAGGATCACCTCTTATCCTGGGACTGTCGGGGAGAAAGGGTGAAAGACAAGATGGACCTAGAAGTAGAGTTATCTTGAAGTAAAGCAGGGAGAAGTTGAGGTATTAGATATTCTGAGTTTTGCAGCAGGCAAGTTAAGTCTTAAGAGGTCATAAGGTAGGGTAAACTTCAGTGCCCCCTGAATCCCTCTTTTTATTCTGTTAAGTGTTTCCTTTTCCTCCCTAGATATCCAGGATCTGCCTGCAACGCAGGGTCCCTTCTGTTAAGATTAAGTGAACTGGCCTTCTCCACTTCCACTTGGGGGCTTGAGAAGGTGGAAAAGACAGGAAGCAGTTCCTGTAGATTATTGACTAGGAACTCAGCAGGTAAGAGGAATTGAGGGCATAAGTGAAATTCCAGGACATGACATTTTAGAGGACTAAGCCACCTTTATACTCCGGCTTTATCCAGCAACCCCCTCCAGGCCTAGGGGAGAGAAGATTGGCCCAGGTGAAAGTCAAAGTGCTTAAATGAAGCTAGCGTGTGAGGGAGGGCAGCCCTAAAGTAGCAGATCACGAAGACCTGGCAGAATAATTAGTCTGTATCAAGCATACGGGAGTTATGTGGACTGAAGAAATGGAGGAGGCTGTGTCAGTTGTGATGTAAAGAGCAGCTTTACTGGGTGGGGCTACAGATAGGAGAGGTGATGGGCAAGGAGGTTGTGGTCATAGGAATAAAAGGGAGAGAGTGCATTGAGTATCTGTTTATGGTGATGGAAAACTTGACAATGGACACCGGTGATGGTTGCACAACATGATTAATGTAATTGGCGTTGCTGAATTGTACATGTAAAAAATGTTGAATTGGCAAATGTTGTGTTATATAACTTTTTACTACAATTTAAAAAAAAGAATAAATGAAAGGGAGAGCGCGCAGATGAGGAACAGGGTAGTGCAGCTTAGGTAAGTGGCCATGAGACTTGGGAGACTAGTAAGAAATGGTGAAGTCCAGTTCATTTACTCCTAGCAGAAGGGGTCCTGGGTAGCAGGTGGGTGCTAGATACCTAGGGAGGAAGATGAGCACTTAAAGGAATGAAAAGGGCATTGAAGTGGGTTTTTGTTTGTTTGCTACAGACCAGCCCCAGTCCTACTCTTTGGAGACCCCTTAGAAGCCAATATAAATTTTGTATTGCTAGATAAGAGATTAGAGATAGGTTAACAAGAGTGGGACAAAACAGTTGGAAGGCTGGGGTCTGATTCAGGAGACTAATAGGCTGGAAGGTGATTTCAGAGGGAATGGACCTAGAGATGTGAGTTCAGCCTTCTCACAAATGCCTGCCCAGAAATTTTTACTTCCCAAGGCTTGCGGGTTAGTGCCCTAAATTCCGTGCTCCCCACCCCCAAAAGTCCGTAAGTGCTAAGATGGTGCTGGTGATTGGGGAATGAATAAGTAGGAAAATCTGAGGGGACCCATCCTAGTCTCAGATCCCAGCCTTGGCCTTGAAGTCTGAAAGCCTGATCTGAAAGGATTGGCAACAAATTTATCATTTATCTAGGTCAGGAGCTAGAGAAAGAGGAGAGACCAATGAAGAGCCAGCTCTGGGCGTCAACTCCTGGCACTACCCCATCCTCTGCACAAACCTGTTTTATCTCTCTGTGCAGGAATTTACAGCCATAGATGTGAGAGCTTCTCCCTCTCAGTCTGAGCCATCACTCTTTCTTTCCTTAAACACAAGAGAGCTGTCAAATATGCTCTCAGCAAACATCATAAAGGAGGTGCACTCCCACTCCTGTTCCAAAGGCCATTATCAGCTTGGACCCTGCCCCCTGAGGCTCCTCAGGGTCCCCACCCCACTGTAGGGCTCAGGGCTCCAGTTCATCAGTGCTACACTTCCAGGTGTATGTGGGCACCCTGACATGCAGGCTGTCTGGGATTGTGCCCTATTTCAGCACCTTAGTAGACGAGACTATCCTGTCTTTAAGGGGGAACCAGGAAGGTGTGGGTGCTACATATGTCACATCCTTGGCATCTGTGATATGCTGGTATCCCCACTTACTGATTCTGTGCTGTCACCATCAGATAAATCAGCTCAATCCTGAGATTACCCCACCTTCTCCACCCCTCCAGTTGAATGCCCTGGCCTGGCTGGACAAAATGCATTCTATACGAAGATACGAGGAAAAAAGGAATGGAGAAGGATTACTGGGGCAAATTTCTGGGAAGCCTGGAAGGGGACAGGAACAAAGAAAAAGAAGTCAGATAGGATAGGCAACTGCTATTTCCTTTGACTAGAAAGGAGGGAGCCACTGAAGGACTTATGAGAAATGGGTGTCACACATGATTTCCTTACCTCCCCCTAAGTCTCAGAGGGCTGGCCTCTCTACAGAGCCTGGAAAAGAGGAGAAAGCAGCCTTATCTGGCATCACTATTAGATTCTCTCATCTCTGCCCTACACTTACCCCCTTTTCTCTCACTTCCTGGCTTCCAGTATTACAATCTATCTGCCCTAGGGGTAGGAAAGCCGCTGTCCTGGGGGGTTCCTCCCCACCTGCAGCTGCTATCCTCAGATATGGATACAAGTGCCAGTGAGGAGGCAGCTGTGGGAGGCTGGGGCCCCCCACTATTGCAGAGCTGCTGGAGCTGACGTCGATACTTGTCCCCAGTAAGCAGGTACAGCACAGGATCCAGGCAGCTGTTGGCGCTGGCCAGGGGCCGAGTCACTTTGTAGACCACATTGACAATGTTCAGCACTTGGCAGTCAGCTTCAAATAGCCTTGCCGTGTAATAAATGGTGCGGGTGATGTGGAAAGGCACGAAGCAAAGAGCAAAGACAGTCAGCACTACAGCGATGGTACGGAGAGAACGGAGACGAGAAGAAGTCTGGGCAGCCCCTGGCAAGGGCCGAAACAGGCGCCGAGCCACGAGCCCATAGCAGACCAGAGTGACCAAGCAGGGCACACCAAAGAGCAGCCCTGTGATTGCTGAGCTGAAGTGCACATAATGGCCAAACTCCTCAGGCCGAGTGGTGTCATGGCACAGGATGGTGGCCCCCTTGGTGCTGGTTGTGACAAAGAATAGGCTGGGCATGAGACAGCCAGCTACAACCAACCAAACTGCCAAGCAGAGAAGGCTGGCAAAGCGTGGGCGGCCCCAGCGTAGTGCCCACAGTGGGTGGCAGATACCCAGGTAGCGGTGCACACTGATGCAGGTGAGGAAAAGGACGCTGCAGTAGAGGTTCCAATAGAAGAGAAAACGGACAAACTTGCAGAGCCCAGTGCCAAAGGGCCAGTGGTTGTGGGCTGCGTAATAATAGATGAGAGTGGGCAGTGACAGCACATACAAGGTGTCTGACAACGCCAAATGGAACATGTATGTGGCTGTTGCATCCCAGGGTCGAAGGCGGAAGAGGAAGAGCCAGAGGGTTGGGGCATTGAGGCCCAGGCCCAGTACAAAGACAACTGCGTAGCTCACAGGCAGCAGGATGAACTTGAACTCCTCATCAAACCAGCAGTCCAGCTCCACATCGTTGCTGCCTGGACCTGGGCTGGAGACTAGGGATTTGAGCAGCAAGGATTGTGCACTGGCCATGGCCCCCCTAGAGGTGGAAAGGGCAGAAGTGAGGGTGGTTTAATTTCCCTGGTCCCCCAGCCCTGACCAGGGGCAAAAAAGCAGAGAACACGGAGGGCAATGGTTGAAGCATTAGGGAGGGATAAGAGTAGTGCATCCAAGTGCAACCTAGGCCAACCTGGCCCCTACCTGAACTCCCTTGGTCCAAGCCAGGGAGTGGTGGGCAGCAGGAAGTTCTGGGTCTCAGGAGGGCAGTCAGTGGGTTTGGGTTGCTCTCATACTGCAGCTGACTCAGTCCTTAGAACCTGGCTAGCTGAAGGGGGTGGAGGCCTACCAGGGCCATCCAAAGTGGCAAGATGCCCAGACCCAAATTGTCTCCTAACTCCTTGCAATAGCTCTGTCTGTCCCTATGAAGAGGAGTGTCTCTCCACAAGGTGTCTTCACCTCTCCTTTTACCCTGGTTCCAGTGTCTCCATACTACATTTATTTCCAGTGCCTTCCCCCACCTACCTATAGCCCAGGACTCCCATCATCACCCTTGCCCAAGAAGTTTGACATGTCTCCTACCTGGTCCCCTTCAAGCTGAGCCCAGCTGACTCGGCCATCCTTCCCCTTGGCAGCCAGAGTGCATATCTAAGGGGGCGGGGTTGGGGGTGGGGACTGTCCCTCCTCCCATCCCTGAGAGATTGTCAGAGCTGGAAAGGCCCTTGGAGATTATCTAGTCCAACCCTCTCATTGTACAAATTAGGAAACTAGGGCCCATCTAGATTACTGTTTAACAGTTTTATAAATGAGTGTAGGAAAGAGTACACAATGAAACATCCAAGTTGACAGATGAAGAGCCAGGCCACTGGAGATAACTAAAATTACAGAAAGATCATACAAGTCTACGTAAGTGAGAAGAAACATGGTAAATGAATTTTTTTAATTGAACTTTAAATGAAGGTTTACAGAACAAACTAGCTTCTCATTAAACAGTACATATATTGTTTTATGGCATTGGTTAACAACCTCATGACATGTCAGTACTCTCCCTTCTCGACCTTGGGTTCCCTATTACCAGCTTTCCTGTCCCCTCCTGCCTTCTAGTCCTTATCCCTGGGCCAGTGTGCCCCTTTAGTCTCATTTTGTCCTATGGGTCTGTCTAATCTTTGGCTTAAAGGTGAACCTCCGGAGTGACTTCATTACTGGGCTAAAAGGGTGTCTAGGGGCCATACTCGCACAGTTTCTCGAGTCTCTGTCAGGCCAGTAAAGTCTAGTCTTGTCTTTTTTTTTTTTTTTGAGTTAGAATTTTGTTCTACATTTTTCTCCTGCTCTGTCTGGGACTCTCTATTGAGATCCCTGTCAGAGCAGTCAGTGGTGGCAGCCGGGCATCATCTAGTTGTACTGGACTCAGTCTGGCGGAGGCCATAGTAGTTGTGGTCTACTAATCCTTTGGACTAGTCTTTCCCTTGTGTCTTTAGCTTTCTTCATTTTCCCTTGCTCCTAAAGGGGTGAGACCAGTAGAGTATCTTAGATGGACCCTCACAGGCTTTTAAGACCCCAGATACTACTCACCAAAGTAGAATGTAGAACATTTTCTTTATAAACTATGTTATGTCAATTGAGCTAGATGTTCCCTGAGACCATGGTCCCCACAACCCTCAGCTCAGCAATTCAGTCCCTTAAGGGATTCGGATTTGTCCATGGAGCTTCCATGACCCTAACCTGAACAAGTTGTGCCGGCTTCCCCAGTATTGTGTACTGTCTTACCCTTCACCATAGTTACCACTTATCTATTGTCTATTTAGTGTTTTTCCACCCCCACCCCACCCCTCCCTCATAACCATCAAAGATTGTTTCTTTCTGTGTGTAAACCTTTCCATGAGTTTTTATAGTAGTGGTCTAAAACAATGTCTGTCCTTTTGTGATTGACTTATTTCACTCAGCATAATGTCCTCCAGTTTCATCCATGTTATGAGATGCTTCACAGATTCACCATTGTTCTTTATTGTTGCGTAGTATTCCATTGCGCGTATGTACCGTAGTTTGTTTATCCATTCATCTGTTGATGGGTATTTAGGTTGTTTCCATCTTTTTGCTATTGTGAACAATGCTGCAATGAACATGGGTGTGCATATGTCTATTCGTGTGACGGCTCTTATTTCTCTAGGATATATTCCTAGGAGTGGGATTGCTGGATCATATGGTATTTCTCTTTCTAGCTTTCTAAGGAAGCACCATATTGTTTTCCAAAATGGTTGTACCATTTTGCATTCCCATCAGCAATGCATAAGAGTTCCAATCTCCCTGCAGCCTCTCCAACATTTGTTATTTTCTAGTTTTTGATTCGTGCCAGTAATGCCAGGGTGAGATGATATCTCATTGTGGTTTTGATTTGCATTTCCCTAATGGCTAGTGATCGCGAGCATTTCCTCATGTGTCTGTTAGCAGCTTGAATGTCTTCTTTGGTGAAGTGTCTGTTCATTTCCTTTGCCCTTTTTTTAATTGGATTATTTTCTTTTTGTGGTAGAGGTGTTGGATTTTCCTTAGATTTTAGAGATTAGAGCTTTGTCTGATTTGTCATAGCCAAAATTTCTTTCCCAGTCTATAGGTTCTCTTTTACTCTTTTGGTGAAGTCTTTTGATGAACATAAGTGTTTAGTTTTTAGAAGATCCCAGTTATCTAGCTTATCTTCTGGAGTTTGTACGTTGTTAATTATGGTTTGTATCCTGTTAATGCCATGTATTAGGGTCTCTAGCATTGATCCTATTTTTTCTTCTATGATCTTAATAGTTTTTGGTTTTAGACTTGAGTCTTTGATCCATTTTGAATTAGTTTTTGTGTGTGGTGTGAGGTATGGGTCCTGTTTCTTTCTTTTTTTTTTGGAGATGGGCATCCAATTTTGCCAGCACCATTTGTTAAAAAGACTGTCTTTTCCCCATTTGATGGACTTGGGGCCTTGTTGAAGATCAGGTGACCAGAGGTGGATGGATTTACATCTGAGTTCTCAATTCTGTTCCATTGGTCAATATATCTGTTGTTGTACCAGTACTAGGCTGTTTTGACTACCATAGCTGTATAGTAAGTTCTGAGGTCAGGTAGTGCAAGTCTTCCTACTTTATCCTTCCTCCTCAATAATGCTTTACTTATCGGGGCCTCTTCCCTTTCCATATAAAGTTAATGATTATTTTTTCCATCTCTTTAAAGAATGTTGTTGGTATTTGGATCAGGATTGCATTGTATTTGTAGATTGCTTTGGGTAGAATTGTCATTTTCACAATGTTGAGTCTACCTATCCATAAGCATGGTGTGTTTTTCCATTTATGTAGATCCCTTCAGTTTCTTGCAGTAGTGTTTTGTAGTTTTCTTTGTATAGTTCTTCTACATCCCTGGTTAGATTTATTCCTAAGTATTTTATTTTCTTAGGAGCTATTATAAATTGTAATGCTTTCCTGATTTCCTTTTCATTGTTCTCTTTGTTGGTGTATAGGAATCCAACTGATTTTTGTGTGTTTATCTTGTATCCTGCTACTCTGCTGAATCTTTCTATTCGTTCCAGTAGTTTTCTCGTGGAGTCTTTTGGGTTTTCCATACATAGTATCATATCATCTGCAAATAGGGACAGTTTTACTTCTTCATTACCAACTTGGATGCCCTTTATTTCTTTTTCTTGCCTTATTCCTCTAGCTAGGACTTCCAGCACAATGTTAAATAGGAGTGATGATAAAGGGCATCCTTGTCTTGTTCCTGTTCTCAAGGGGAATGTTTTCAGCCTCTCTCCATTAAGAATGACGTTGGCCCTTGATTTTGCATAGATGCCCTTTATTATGTTGAGGAATTTCCCTTCTATACCTATTTTATTGAGAGTTTTTATCATGAACGGGTGTTAGACTTTGTCGAATGCCTGTTCTGCAACAATTGAGATGATCATGCGATTCTTTTGCTTTATTTTATTTATGTGATGGATTATGTTGATTAATTTTCTAATGTTGATCTGTTCTTGCATACCTGGTATGAATCCTGCCTGGTCGTGGTGTATTATTTTTTTT